TAAACATTTATATAAGGTAACATCAATACATTTTTCATTTTTATTGTCTTCCTCTTCCCCCAGGTCTTTTCGTTATGAGTGGAGCTATCATTTATACTGTAATGAACTCCGAATGGGTCCATGAGTCAGAGTCCTACGGCTTTTCCTACATCCTGGCCTGGGTAGCCTTCCCTCTGGCGTTCATAAGCGGCTTAATCTACGTCATTTTAAGGAAACGAGAGTGAGGTGGCACCACTCTCTAGTGGTCGCCATCTGGAAATACAGCTTTGAAGCCAAAGTATCGCACTGCACCCACAGAGAAGTGAAATCACGCAGTATCTTCACCCAGGGGGTCAGTCAAAATCAACCCCGCTGCCACCCCGAAAAGACATATTCAATACTGTCATCATTTGAAGATGTGTATATAGTATCTTTAGTTTAAAACCTATTTATAACACTTTTTACATACATGTACATAGTATTTTGTGTTTGCTCTGTTGACAAAGAACCTCTGAGAGCTTTTCTTTTAGCTAATTAAGTGCCTAGAGTGTGTGTTTGTCGCAGAAATGTGCATCATTAGCCATAATGTGTGTTTCTGTCAATTTTTCTTTCCTTATAAGGCCAAAAATACTTATAAAAAGGTTTTTTATGTATTTTAACCAAAGTGCATGTATTAAATTATAGGGACAACGAAAGGAAGCGTTTTCAGTGAAGCTGCATTTATTAATAGTTTTTCTTTGTTTTCCAACAAAAAATGGTGCTATGTATTTACCATTCCTTTAACTAATAGCCATTTAGACTTTATTTAGAAGGACATAACATGACTGAAAGCCAAAATCAGAACGCCGTTGAATATTTTGTACTTGTGCCTATAACACAATGCTGTATATACAGTACTCACCAAAAAAAAGGTTAATTTTATAATAAAACAAACAAAATGTGTTCTGAATAACGTGTGGTTATTAGTTTAGATTTGGGAGATTGCGATGGAGGAATTGTAGTAAAAACAGAGACTAGGAATTATTGATTTTAGTTGGTTTTTGAAAGTTACATTTAAGAGCAGTATTAGCAGCAGGATTTGAGAAAGGCAGTAATTCAGTTTAATAAATGTCGCTTATATCATCCAAATACAATTCAGATGTATAATGTTTGATGGATTTGGTCACTCGTTAGCTGTTAATATAATTGGGGCATTACATAATTAAACAGTTGAGGCGAACACCCTTCATATCAGACAAGCATATAAATATAAAATAAACATGAACTAAAGGTATAGTTTTTTCCAAGTATCAAAATGACAGCTTAAAATCCTCTATATACACAATATATCCAGAAAAACATATTTAAAAGCATCCAAGTGGCAGTTTTGTTGTGTAAAAATGTGTTATGAACTGACCACTGATAACATGATGGCGGACACATCATAACACCTGCATGCATGGAAAGATTTTTCAATACTTGAAATATAACATGCTGCGATGTTTACCATTTTTGAGATGCTCCGTTTCTACTCACATAACTCACAGTAACTCCCAATGTACTGTAATTGCATGTGATTGTATTAAAAGAGACACGTATTACTTACAATTAAAGGCCCTATTCTGAGGACCATGTATTAGATTGCTTCTCCTGCAACTCCAAAAACAATAAATTATGTTTTGTTATGATGAACTGATCACGTTGCCTGTTTTCATGGTTGTAATGGCCGGATGAATGTCTAACTAAATCCCCCTCTGCCTTTTTTTTTCTGTGACTGAACGAACAACTTTTATGCAAAGCAGAATAATTTATTTTACCTGCAATAAAACTTTTTTTTCCTTGTGTGTAAAGGGATTTCTGTATGTAGAGATTGATAATCCCCTTAAACATATTAATATATATATATAATCAATATGTGGTCTGTTCTGACATGGGACCAGCACTATAAACAACGTAAGGCTAAAACCTGAAATAACAACCGAATCGTGTCGTATTCATTTGATCAGGCTAAACAGTTGTAGACTGTAATATTTGAATTTAACTGAATGTCGTGGTGCTCCTTCTGAAAACAGCTGTACTGTAAGTCGTGTCTGAAGGAGTGTGAGCTCTGATGAAGACTGTTCATTCACGAGAACCCAACTCTGTGCCTCTGACTCGCCTCTTTTATGAAAGCTTGTGTTTGTGTGTTTATTAAAAGCTATTAAAAAGAAATACTGCTTGCCAGAAAATTGTCTCTCTTTTTACTTTCTGGAAAAAAAAAAAATGCATATGAATTAAAATGAACTAGTGGTTTCATCTGCTGGATTGTGATCCAAAAATGTCAATGGTTTCGACAGCAATTCATAAAATAAAATTCAAATAGCCTAATCAATTAACTTGTAAAGAGAAAAATCAATCACATCCACAAGTGTGCCAGGTTTGCACAGGTATAGATATCAGAATCAGCTTTTGTTTACAAAATCACCCTATTCAGCCTATGAATATTTAATTAATAATTCTGCACATTACATGCTAATTTAACATTGTAAATTCTTCTTCAGCACCAGCAGAGGACCACTGATCTAAAAAAGATTGTCAGAAAATAGTGCCACTTAGTGGTGTAATTTAAATAGTGCAACTTGATATGTGAAAATATGAGAAAGACTGCCATCCAGCGTTAGAAATTACCATTTTAATCGATGCCATGTTTGATGTTGATTTCTAAATGCATTTTTAGCATTAGCTATCCATTCGGGATTGATTCATTCCTTAATATTCATTCATTCCTTCGGGAAAGATTCTCTCAAAGTTATGAACAAATGCAGGCCTATTTTCAGTAAGGTTAATAAAATGCTCGTTCAAAGTTATCTGGTAGGCCCTGTTTAATGTTATTAAAACGTTAGCACAAAATCATGATCTATACATCGTTCATGGAACGATTTTCTGAAACATTTTAATTTCAGAATGTTAGTGTAATGTTTTTAAAAGTTGCTACTTCCTACTTGTTCAGATGGTTCAGAGAACATTCCAAACTAATGTTCCCATAATGTTCGAAAAAGGATCAAATTAAACATTTCCTTCAAGTTTTATCTAATGTTCACATAACCAAGAAAAAGCGTTATTAAAATGTAAAAAAAAAAAAAAAACGTGAGCACTTTAGCAAAACATTCTAAGAACATATTTTTGTTAACTGGGACTCTGAGATAGTGAATACAGAATATTTATCTGACAGCTACAGGTCGCTAAAGTGTACAAAGACGCTAAACTTATCACTAGATAAGTTATTACATATTATTAAATATGTCAAATGTTAGATAACTGTTGCAAAAAAAGACATTCATGGTATTTCCCCCAAGATTCTTAAAGGGGTCATATGATGCTGCTAAAAAGAACATTATTTTGTGTATTTGGTGTAATGAAATGTGTTTATGCGGTTTAAAGTAAAAAAAAACACATTATTTTCCACATACTGTACATTATTGTTTCTCCTCTATGCCCCGCCTTTTTGAAACGCGTTGATTTTTACAAAGCTCATCGAAAGGAAAAATTGAAATCGCATCATATGACCCCTTTAATATCCAATTATTGTACAAAGCACCCTGCTGCCCTCTAGTGAGATTCACGATGGTATGATAACGTCTAATAAACTTTTAACACAAATAATTCTAACAAAAAGAGTTAAGACTAGAAGAGTTTAAGAACAAAACAGATTAGGGAAAAAAGCGACGAGAAAGAAAATGTCACAGACCATTTCACAAGGTGTCACAGTCCATTTAATCTAATGACACCGTTCATGAAATCATCAGCAGTGGAATCATCAGTCTTCATTTAGCTGGACTTTGTTTGCTGGGTGAATTTTTCACGTTCTGTAAAATCACTGAACAAAATCTGAATAGGTGAATTTCCTGCTCACATTTTATAATAGAATGATTCCACAGGAGACAAATGTGTATTGAGATTTACATGAAAAATATACAAACATAACTATATAATATTTTTATAAATACAATGAGCATTTTTTGGGCATATTTATTTATTTATATTTTATTTATTTACTATAAATATACATGAATGTAAAATATTTTATTTATAAATACAACAGTTGCATTTTTGCAATGTTCATTTATTTATGTATTTGCTACATAAATGCATGTAAAATATTTTAGTTACTGTATATTTCAGTGTTTGCAATGCAATTTTGCAATGTTTATTTACTTACCGTAAATATAAATACAAGTAAAATATTGTATTATTTTATTTATAAATACAATTGCATTTTTGCAATGTCATTTTTGCAATATTTATTTATTTACTATAAATATAAATGAATGCAAAATATTTTATTATTTTATTTATAAATACAACAATTCCATTTTTGCAATGTCATTTTTGCAATATTTATTTATTTACGTACTATATAAATGCATGTAAAATATTATATTTATATCTAAACTGGATACTTTAACTGCATTTCATCATATAAAAAGCCCTCAAAACGCATTCTTCTTTATTTATCCATAAATTATAGATATAAATACTCATAATGACTATTTAAAGGAATCAGATGATGTTGGGCTCTCTTGGGAACGTCTATGTAAGGCAGACAAATTAATATTACCCATGTGTCTTATCTTATAATGATGGTAATTAATGTATGTGACCAGAAAACCCCTGCAACTTAAGCCTGTCAGAATGATTTGCTGCACCCCGTCCGGTTTCCAAAAGCCCTAATCTGGAGATGTTGTATCTTACAGAGAAAATACGAATAAAAAACATTAGGTAATAAAAGCAAAGATTCTGGCATAAACAAAAAAAAAATTACATGCAGATGTTCATATACAGGAACTGTAATAGGTGAGAAATGTAATAGCAAAACAAGTCCCAAAAAGGTCTCATTGACTCAAAACAGAAAACAAACACACTTTTTAGGAGCTGATCCATGAACACAGGATAGTAAACACATCCCGCCAGTTTTAGACAGCACAAGCGTTGTTTATGCCCTGTACGCCCCTCCTCTGTCGCCACCATAATTGTTTGCGTCCTCCGGGTCAAGAACGAGACTACAAAATAATGACATTATCCATCGTGTCCCTCTCAGTCTCCTCCGCCCATGTCTCAACCCTTTAATTCTACCCACCCAATGTCATTAACGCCTCCGCTATCCATTCTCCAGTCTTCAGGGAGATAATATTCCTTCATTTCTGGAACACAATGGGAAAGGACGCAAACAGAAGGTCCACCTTAATCTATCAGGCCTCCTTCAGTGGCTCTGAAGCTCTCTCTGACAGGCATAGCATCGCTGGACCATGGACCGCAGGACAAGAGACACAATTAAGCCTCATGAAATGCAAATGGAGCCTTTTTAAGGCAAAGGAGGGGGTTATTTTCTGCCTGAAACCACCATCTGCAGGCTATCACCTGCACAAAGCATCATCGGCTCGGGAAATTTGTAGCTTTAATATTTTTTCATGTTAATTAAAAAAAGAAACGGCTTACGAGTACACAGCTGGTTTCGATCAGGACAGCAAACGTTCAGCGGTTTGACCCCTTGTACACGTAAAAATATAAAAAAATGTAAAAGCCATAAAAATGTCAGATTTTCATTTTAGAGTGAGTAAATATACAAACAAACAAATATTTTTGCTATCATAATATAGTTTATAATCATTTGAAAGGGGTCTGTTCTCATCAAAACTGCATTTATTCGATCAAAAATACAGTAAAAAATAAGTGTAAAATATCAATTTAATTTAAAGTTTTCTAAAACCATGATACACTAGCATTCAAAAGTTTTAAGTTTTAAGTTTTTGAAAGAAATTAATACTTTTATACAGCAAGGATGCATCAAATTGATCACAAGTGACAGTGAAGACATTTATAACATACATTTATAATACAGTAAAAACAGTCGTTTTTTTATATTATTATAATTTAATTATAATTTAACTGTTTCCTATTTGATTACATTTTAAAATGTAATGATTCTATTTCCCTAGAAATTATTCTAATATGCAGATTTGGTGCTTTAGAAACATTTATTATTATCAATGTTGAATGTTTTATTTATTTATTTATTATTTTATTTTTGTGGAAACCATGATACACTAGCATTAGTTTGAAATAAGTTTTTTTTTCTTTTAAGAAAGAAATGAATAATTTTATACATCAAGGATCAAAAGTGACAGTAAAGACATTAATAATATATACATTTATATATTTGTTATTTCACATTTTAATGGAAATACAGTAAAAACAGCTGTGAAATATTACCATTTAAAAGAACTGTCTTCAATTTTGTCTTCAAATATTTTTACCAAATTAGTTCCAAATAAAACCAGATGTTTTCTTCAGTAGCCGGTTTACATGTATTTGATTTGAATTGTCAAATTACTTAATTTACTTGCCAAAAAGCCAATTTAGACTCAATTTTGGACTCAAAAAACACAAACATATACAGCGGGTAAAATTAGTATTGAACGTGTCACCATTTTTCTCAGTAAATACATTTCTAAAGGTGCTGTTGACATGAAATTTTCAACAAGATGTTGGTAACAACCCAAGTAATCCATACATACAAAGAAAACAAAACAAATAAGTTCAGAAATTAAGTTATGTGTAATAAAATCAAATTACCCAGGGATAAAGTATTGAACACATTTACTGAAATGTATTTAATACTTCATACAAAAGCCTTTGTTGGTAATGAGAGCTTCAAGACGCCTCCTGTATGGAGAAACTATAGTCGCATGCATTGCTCAGGTGTGATTTTGGCCCATTCTTCCACACAAACAGTCTTCAAATCTTGAAGGTTCTGTGGGCCTCTTCTATGAACTCTGATCAGTAGTTATTTCCATAGATTT